ACCCTTAACTCGTACCACACTTGGAGCTTTCACACTCTTCCTCTGGGCAAATCCCTTGGAAGCAGAATGTTCCAATTTTGCACATTTTGTGTCAATTTCCCAGATAGAAAAAAAGGAGCCCCTGGACATGAGACATTCTGCTAGGAAAGCCCATTTCCTTGGGTTTATTTGATGCCCCCGCGTCAGGTTCCTGCTGGTCCCTGCGACGCTTGGCGGTTCCCGGACCACTTGACACAAAACACTTCCTTTCCTTGATTTAACCTTTGACTTGGGAACGTAAAAGTTTTATCAGCTCCGGAGTGGAAGCACGTGTGTGTGTGTGTGTGTGTGTGTTGGGGGGGTCTTCCTCCAGCCGCAGACATGGACTTGGGGTTCTCTCTATACTGCCTTCTGCCGAGGCCTCTACGAAAAGTGAAGGAACTAATCTTATAACGAACTTTTGAAGCGTCTCCTGCCCTTTGTTTTAAAAGAATTGGTCCTAACGTATTCGTTTTATGTCTACAGACGTTACAAGGCTATGAGCGTCAAGGCTATGTTCTGTTAAAGAAATGACATTTTTCGTTTTATAAAACCTTGAGTGAAACCCCTCGTTCAGTCCATATTAGATACGGAATACATTTACAAACTGTTTTTTCCCCCCTAGGATCTTTGTGGTTGGTGGCAAGAGCTAGGTTTTGCTGGTGCCTGGGACTAAAATTTAGTGGAAAAGTATCTTAACTTACCGATAATCCTCTTAAGAGCTTACCCATTACTTACAGATGAATTGCGTGGAACGTGTATTGTTTGACAATTTTCTAAGAGGCCACAAAAATCAAAGCGTGAGAATAACATTTCTTGCCCCAGCAAGGTGAGCTGATAGGAGTTACAAACAAAGCTTTGGATTCTGACCATGTTATGAAAACGAATAACATAATATTCCGTTTCCCTGTAACAGTCAGGAGAACACAGGTTTAGTGCGTCCCTGCCTTCCGGGGTCGAACGGTTTGAAATACTATCAATTTAATGTTCATTTGCTCATCTTGTTCCTTGATTCTAAATAACACAGACATTTTCCAGTTATTATTAGTAGTATTATTTTTGCAGCTACCTGCCATGGTTTGAAGTCTATTACAAGCTTCTAAATACGCTGGCGGATTACTTGGCTAAGGAACAGGTAAGCAATGTTCCCCCCCCACCCCCCCCCCCCCCCCCCCCCGACACACACACACACTTTTTTATTGAGGTAAAATACATATGACATAAAATGCCCTGTTTTAAACCATTTTTCAGGGTACAGTTCTGTGTCATTAAGTGCATTCACACTGTTCTACAGCCACCCACCCTATCATCTCTAAAACATTTTTATCTTCCCAAACGGACGCTTGGTGCCCCCGTTAACCCATCACTTCCCATTCCCCTCCCCGACGCCCCTGGCAGTAGCCATTGCGTTTATGTCGCCCACTGGGACATGCCCGGCTCCCATGGGCCACATAGGACTCTGTGCCTCACATAACTAGACTCAGACAGTCTTTGTCCTTCCGTGCCTGGCTTATGTCACTACTCATGTTTTCATGGTTCATCCAATGTTTAGCCTATGTCAGAATTTCTTTCCTTTTCTAAGGAAATGTATTTTTATTGATTTCAGAGAGGAAGAGAGAGGGAGAGATAGAAACATCAATGATGAGGGAGAATCATGGATCGGCTGCCTCCTGCACGCCCCCTACTAGGGATGGAGCCCTTAACCCGGGCATGTGCCCTGACCGGGAATTGAACCGTGACCTCCTGGTTCATAGGTCGATGCTCAACCATGAGCAACACCACCTGGGCCACATAACTTTTATTACATTCCTCACATGCCACCTCATTGCTCCCTTTTTGTCTGTACAAATGTTAATACTGTGCAGGTCTTTTGACTATGAGTCGCTTGCCCTCTCCTGTGAACACTTGGGTTTGTTCACTTGTTGGCTATGCTCAACAAGGCTGCTATGTGCATGGGTGTGCAAATATAGATTTGAGTCCCTGCATTCAGCTCTTTTGAGAATATAGTCAGGAGTAATACAGTAATTCATATTTAATTATTTGAAGAATTGTGCAATCCGTATAATTTTGGTGTTTGAACACTTGGGTTTGTTCACTTGTTGGCTATGGTCAGCAAGCTGCTATGTGCATGGGTGTGCAAATATATGTTTGAGTCCCTGCATTCAGATCTTTTGAGAATATACTCAGGAGTAGAACTGCTGAGTAATACAGTAATTCATATTTAATTATTTGAAGAATTGTGCAATCCGTATAATTTTGGTGTTCTGAGAAGAGGACATTAACACTACATTTGTGTCCTTTATTAGAGGAAACATATTATCAGTTCGCAGTATGAGTAACCAGAAGGAAATCTTTGATTTTGATTTTTAATCGAGTCCCATGGGTTATTTAGACGGATATTTAGATTTTATAATAGAAGTTGTCCTTAACGCAACCTACAGGGGGCAGGTACCAAGGATTTTTAAAAGCTGGACTTTTACAAAATTCGTGTGGCCATAGGAACTTTATATAGCCAGAGCATCGATATCTTCCGGAATATTCTGTGGTATATTTCATTGTTGACATGGTAAAGGGATAAAGTCTTTGTTGCCTTCTTTTTCGGTTGTTCTAAAGGGAATTCCAGATAGGCAGTTGGGAGTGCACGCTTTTGCAGACGTTCATAGCGATCCGAATTAAATTTGATGGCCAAGTTGAAAGAAACCTTGTGAGAAGTCGTGTCTCGTGTCCACATCCCTCAAAATTAGTTGTTACTGTCCTTGAAGAATTGCCTTTCCTTTCGTTTATTCTCCCAACCTAAACATTTTAAGAGAGAATAAAAATAACTATATGTTTAAAAAGCTGCCTTCCTATATCTATTACTGGATTTGCATGAGTAATTCAGAAAGAGTAAGTGTGCACATCAAGATACATTTTAATTATTAAAATCTAGGAGGTAGATCTGTTATATAATTTATTTAATTCCATTTCTTTTTTTTTCTTTTTTTGTGGATCGGGTAGTGACCAGTTGCTACTTAGAAAAGAAATATTTAGGATAACCTCTGTGTTGGATCTTAGTATGATATCTTAAATTATACGTAGTCCTTAAAAAATTAGGTTTGAGATTTAAAAATTAAAATAGGAGATGGAAGCTTTCAGTAACTGATGAATTGTATTGCTGTTTTTATGCCATTCCCTTGTTCTTGGATTTAATGCTTTAAATAATTTCTTTCTTTTTATAACAGTATAAGAATTGAATGTTGCCAAATATATATATTTATACTAGGTATAAGGATTGCTGTTATTCTTTCTGGATAAAGCCATAGGAATGTCTTTCTCAGATTAGATTGAAATATTTGAATTTTGGGTATTTAGAGCATTTTCGTGGAAAGCAGTTGTACAGAGCCAGTCCAACATGAGAAGGCACGGTGCCTGACTTTATCGAATCGTTTTCATCATATTTGCTCAATATATATTTGATTTATAAAATTCACCTCTTTGTTTACTGTAGGAGAATGATTTGAATGCAGTTCTCACAGCGCTCTATAACCACCCCGTCCCCAAGGCAAACAGCCCTGTCAATCTGAGTGTGGTAAGTACGCAGTCAGTTGATTGATTTGTGGGCGTTATAGATGCGTCTCATTTAAGAACACGCGCACCTTTAGGGAACTTCATCCTACACCCACCTCTGCTCCCAGGAAAGCGTCAGTGCTAGAACGATCATCAATTCTTTCTGGATAAAGCCATAGGAATGTCTTTCCCAGATTAGATTGAAATAGTTGAATTTTGGGTATTTAGAGCATTTCTGTGGAAATCAGTTGTACAGAGCCAGCCTAACATGAGAAGACACAGTGCCTGACTTTATCAAATCGTTTTCATCATATTTGCTCAATATATATTTGATTTATAAAATTCACCTCTTTGTTTACTGTAGGAGAATGATTTGAATGCAGTTCTCACAGCGCTCTATAACCACCCCGTCCCCAAGGCAAACAGCCCTGTCAATCTGAGTGTGGTAAGTACGCTGTCAGTTCATTGATTTGTGGGCGTTATAGCTGCGTCTCATTTAAGAACACACGCACCTTTAGGGAACTTCATCCTACACTCACCTCTGCTCCCAGGAAGGCGTCAGTGCGAGAACAATCATCGCACTGAGGCTTAGGACAGCGAGACTTCTGGACCTGCTCCAACTATCCCAACCTAATACGTTGGATGTGTATCGTGGTCGTTGTTAAATCAGGTTTTTTTTGTTGTTTTTTTTTTTGCCTTTTTGTAAAATTTTGAATCAGTAGTCTCTGAGAGGGGACGAGTCTCGCGCCCAGTCCCGTGTTGTTAACGAGGGGCAAAAGTTGCGATTGAATCACTTAACTTTGAACTGCTGGCAGCCGTTCTAGTTTTATGAGTTAGGAATCTTGTTCCTCCCTCAAACGGAAAGAAATTTTTGTTTTGTTTCCAGAATTTCCGTTAGAAAAGTGAGACAACTCTAGAGAAGGCACTCCGATTCCCTTACCATCTCCTATTTCTTACAATCTCCATGTCCCAGCACGTGGATTCTTCAACACTTGACGTTATGGCCACTAGAATATCGCAGCGAGGCTGTGGAAATGGAATTATCTCATGTAAATGGTTATTTTGAGACCGTCTTTCAGAATCGTTACCCACCCGTAGCGTTCTCTACTCTCGGGGGAGAGTGAAAATACGTCCTTTCAGATTATCCTAACATCCCATGAGCAGATCTGCATTTAAAATCACGCTTATCATCAGTGCCCTTCACATGATTTCCGTGGACAGTGTGGCTAACGTGGGTTTGTCTCAGCGACACAGCCAGTGGTGGTGCAAACTTCCCCCTCGAAAGTAAAAATATTCATTTTTTTCTCTCTCATATATCATAAGAACCAAGAGCTATTTATTGCCAGTGAGCAAGTTCTGAGAGATCAGCCCTCCCTAGCACCGGTGAGTTCCAAGGGCACCAACTTCTCACAATCACTATCAAATTGGGAAAATGATTCTTCCACGGTGTCTTTAAGATTCACTCCCGCCTGTGGGACATGGGGAATGGGTCTCTCGGAAGGAAATCATTATTTTGAAATTTCATTTGATTTCAGAGCAGGTGACGAGTCTCGCGCCCCGTCCCGTGCTGTTAACGAGGGGCAAAAGTTGCGATTGAATCACTTAACTTTGAACTGCTGGCAGCCGTTCTAGTTTTATGAGTTAGGAATTTTGTTCCTCCCTCAAACGGAAAGAAATTTTTGTTTTGTTTCCACAATTTCCGTTAGAAAAGTGTGACAACTCTAGAGAAGGCACTCTGATTCCCTTACAATCTCCTATTTCTTACAATCCCCATGTCCCAGCACATGGATTCTTCAACACTTGACGTTACGGCCGCTAGAATATCGCAGCGAGGCTGTGGAAATGGAATTATCTCATGTAAATGGTTATTTTGAGACCGTCTTTCAGAATCGTTACCCACCCGTAGCGTTCTCTACTCTCGGGGGAGAGTGAAAATACGTCCTTTCAGATTATCCTAACATCCCATGAGCAGATCTGCATTTAAAATCACGTTTATCATCAGTGCCCTTCACATGATTTCCGTGGACAGTGTGGCTAACGTGGGTTTGTCTCAGCGACACAGCCAGTGGTGGTGCAGACTTCCCCCTCGAAAGTAAAAATATTCATTTTTTTCTCTCTCATATATCATAAGAACCAAGAGCTATTTATTGCCAGTGAGCAAGTTCTGAGAGATCAGCCCTCCCTAGCACCGGTGAGTTCCAAGGGCACCAACTTCTCACAATCACTATCAAATTGGGAAAATGATTCTTCCACGGTGTCTTTAAGATTCACTCCCGCCTGTGGGACATGGGGAATGGGTCTCTCGGAAGGAAATCAATCACCTGGGATATATTTTCTGTTTATACTCCCTTTTACAGCCCAGTTGTGTGCAATTCAGTTCTTTTGAAAACCCCTCCGAGTCAAGCAGCGAATAGAGACCAAATCCACGCATATTCTCCGTCGCCAGAAGTAGTGATGTTGAAGTTCATTTTAGGAGAGTTCTGTCCCCCCCCCCCATTTTTCTCCATCCCCCCCCCCCCCCTTTTTTTTTTGGTCACAAGGTCCCTGGAGGCCTTGCGGTCTCTCTCATCTTCTTCCCCTACCCTGGAAAATTATAAATACATGGACTGTGGGAACTAGCCTTGTCTCGCTAGTTCAGCGGAGCTTAGTATTGGCTCGAATGGCTCCCCCCCACCCCCATCTTTAATCCTAAAACAGTATTAAACCTGTCCTTCTGTGATGAAGACAGTAAAGTGATGTTGGAGATTGCTATGAACAGAAAATAAAACAATTCTGGTGATTCCCTGGGACGCTGATTCTGGGTGGTAGGTGTGGGGTGGGGGACGGGCGGGCGTACACGGTGTGCGTTTTATCCAGATCCGGCTGAGACCTGTGGTGTTGCTTCAGGTATCGAAGCTAATTCGTGTTCGTTGAGGGGATGCATGAAGGCCACAGCATTTTGGAACGAGTCGCTGTATTTTAAAGAAGTTTTAAAGGCCGAAACATTGTTTGCTTGCCGCGTTCTAAACCGTACAGCGACGGATATGTACCAGAGATATCTGTTGTGGCGGTCCATAGGAAATCTTAGAATTTGATATTTTTTGGGGGGAAGCAAGCCTTATTGTGCCGTCTCCCTAAACTAAATGTGTTTTTAAATACACAAATATATCGTATAAGTATACACAAAAATGAAGAGATATCTACCTTATAGTGATATGCTTTTTGTTCTCAACTGTTTTTAGGACTTTGTAAAATTCAGTATTTTCAGCCAACACTTTAATTTTTTTTTTAATTTTATTGATTTCAGGGAGAAAGGGAGAGGGAGAGAGCGAGAGAAAAACATCCATGATGAGCATCATGGATCGGCTGCTTCCTGCACGCCCCCTGCTGGGGATTGAGCCCACAACCCCGGCATGTGCTCTAGCCGGGAATCGAACCCAGGACCCTTCAGTCCACAGGCCGATGCTCTATCCACTGAGCCAAACCAGCTAGGGCCAACAACACTTAGTTCCTTTTTTTAAAAAATATATATTTTATTGATTTTTTTATAGAGAGGAAGGGAGAGGGATCGAGAGTTAGAAACAACCATGAGAGAGAAACATCGACCAGCTGCCTCCTGCACACCACCCCCTGGGGATGTGCCCGCAACCAAGGTACATGCCCTTGACCGGAATCGAACCTTGGACCCTTCAGTCCGCAGGCTGACACTCTATCCACTGAGCCACACCGGCTACTAGGGCCAACACTTAGTTCTTTATATGAGAAAGTGATTGCTGAAGGTCCTTTAAACCTCATGGACATCATCGCTCAAATTCAACAAATCCTGAGCATTGGTCCTCGGTATCTACAAACTCAGTTGCTGTAGTTTTTCTTCTTTTTACCCCACGTGGTATGCGATGCTGCCCAGCCGTAACCCTCCTCCCCCCGTGTGCTTCTATCCATTAGCACTCCTACTTCATCGCCCCCGACGTAACCGGACTCCCAACCATCCCCGAGAGTGTAAGTTTATTCTGCTTATGTTTTTTATTCTATTCCCTGTGTGGATTTCCTTTCCTTCGGTCTCCCTGTTTAAGGACCCCCGTGTAAAGACATAGAAGATGTAGTAACTATCTGTGGTTCTGAGAAATAATGAAGAAATATGGAGTAACCTATCTGTGGTTCTGAGAAATAATGAAGAAATAAGGAATAACATGGTTCATTCTCTCCCTCTCTCTCTCTCTCTCATTTTCCTGCTACTTTACCCCCTTCTGAATATCAGGGTGTGGTCAGGAGAATGGTGAGAGTACCAGTATTTCTATCCATTGAGACAGTTCAGGGGATCGTGTATTTCAGTGAGGACCAGGGAGGGGGCGTTTCTCATGGGAGGACTTCTATGGGTGGGGAATGGCTACCTCAGTGGGAAGTATTTCCACACAATAGCCACCCCCGTGAACTGACCGGAGCATCTGAGGTCCCTGCTTCTATCTCCGTTCAGCTCTTAGGTGTCTCGTGCCTGAGTTCTGGATTCTCACTGAAGCGATAGCATTACTTTGTAAGGCCTGAGGGGTATTAACGAGAAATTATAAAAGTTGCTAAGTTTTGCATTTGATGTCCCAATTGGTTGTAGCCAATATTAGAAATATTCTTTTTTTAAAAATATATATATTTTATTGATTTTTTACAGAGAGGAAGGGAGAGGGATAGAGAGTTAGAAACATCGATGAGAGAAAAACATCAATCAGCTGCCTCCTGCACACTCTCTACTGGGGATGTGCCCGCAACCAAGGTACATGCCCCTGACGGGGGGGCAGGTCTCCGCTCGCGGCTCTGACTGTGGGCCTGAGGGGGGCACCCAGAGGCTCGGGGCACCTCAGAGGCCTCAAGTCCACGTGCTGCTCCTGCTGGGCGGGGCGCCCTGCTCTGTCCTGGCAGCTGACCCCCCCATGCCTTGACTGATATGACCCTGGACCCTTCCCTTCAGAGTTTTCATTTCATTTCATTTATTTTTTGTAAATCCTTGTAAGCAGGGAAAAGGCAGGGTTTGCTGTGGAGGAGGATCTTGAATCACTGGGCTTCAAGGTAAATAGAAAGATTAAGC